TGCTGGTAATGAAGAAGAGAAGGTAACATGCAGGACATTTCTCACCTCTCCTATTCATCAAAACTAGATGGCACAATTGTAGTAAGGTGTAAAAATGTAATGCACTTTACTGTGAAACTACCTAGAAAACACATAGATATCTAGAAAACAGGCCTAAAAATGCCCATGCTCTAAAATACAACAAGGACAACTGAAATACAATAATAACACACATACGACAAGACGTTTCATCTACAGTAGAACACTCAAGCTTCAATGGCAAAGTTGATTTGATAGCATACATCTGATAGTGTGCTATTAACAGAGCTGCACATTGTAGTTCCAGCTCAGGTAGAGTAACATTCCCTAGCACAATGCCCCCATGTTGAGAAAACATTAATCTATGTTCCACTGCGGAATCAGGAACCTGCAGCAATGCCAGCTACTAGTTCCAAAATCACGCTATCACTGATAGCTACCAGCATCAACTAATTGTCAGATACAAATCACAAATACTAATTTTAAAGACAGTACAAGGTTTAAAAAGTAAATATTTTTTTTAAATTTAGAAATATAGTTTTTTGTGCACATGTCTATAATAATACATCTGAGCACGGTATTTATTACAACATTATACAAAATTAGTTGTTCCTAAGAAACAATGTAAAACTATTTTGGTATAAATTGTAGCCTTAGAATTATTGTCATGTTAATCACTGTGCATTGACACTGCTAAATGTGATCTGGGCATCCATGCATCAATGAGCTCTGATCGTAAAAAAAGTTAAAGTTTTTCCTTGCTTTTGCCTAGTGCAGGTGTATATCTATTGTTGATTCTATTTTATATCCCCTCTGTAAAATAATGTACAGATTCAGGGTGGTAACTTTATTTTTTCACATTGTTGTACTGGCACATTAAAATATATCTGAAGCCCCAATTTTTTCTTTCGTTTGGGAGAGTAGGGAAGGGTTAAAACCACTGTCATCTGTTAAGGATATTTTCTTTCACTTCCTTTCTTGTAGACTGAAAGAAGTAAGAAGATATCTTTCCAATGTGTGAGAAATCCCCTCTTAGACAGTTGTCGTTAACAAGTGCCCCTACTAGAATATTTCACCTCTATTCATGCTCTGGAGGCAACTTAAACATTTTTGATTTAACCTTTTCTTCATACTCAGTGACGTTCGTGATCTGGGCATTTAGAATCTCCCTGATGAGGACACATGCAGCAATAAAAACCTGACAGTGGTTCTAACTACTCACCACGTTATCCAAATCTCCATTACTTACACTTTAACCTTTCACAGTAAATTACACAATCTGTTGAGCCTGCAAGGATGTTCTCCCTTTCATGTTCACGTTATTCTGTGTCCTCTATAAAGCTTTCAATAAAAGCACTGTTTTAAAATCACGGTTCTAGTGACTCTTTTGTATTAAACTGACCAGAACCCAAATGCTGCATAGATCCCACAGAATGCAAAAAAAAAATAGAAAATATGGGAGTAGAAGATGGTGTCAGAATACAAAAACAAAGAACTATTGTTATCGAATACAGGAACAAATGTTATTGCTGCTCAGCTGCTGATTGTCTGATTATACTTGCCTATCTCCGAGTCTTTCCAGGTCTGGAAAAAGAAATGGAATAGGACTGTGCTGCCCATAGAGCTCTCATGGGTCCACCAGGTACAAACTGAACAGGTATGGATGTACAAAACCTGACATCTTCTGCAGGTCTTCCTTTGGAGCATGGCATTTTGGTTTTTGTGTTTTTTCTTTTTCTTTTGATCAGCATTGTTCGCTTGCAAAACTGCTAAATAAAGAATTGGATAAATAACCTGACATCTATCTATTGACATCCATTGACTCTAATTCAGCCAGGGATCTGCTCATGGATCAGAACAGACTTCGCTCCGTGTGAAAGGAGCCAGGTCAAGGAACTAAATTATTTCATGAATCTTATTGTACATTGATTGGATACATTATTAGGGCCCATCTACCCAGCTGAAATGCATAATATAGCTTCTCTTTATTCAGGAGTGTTGCAAGGCTGGGGAGCTTGGCCAAGACCGCTGTTTTGTATGCATTATGAATTCTCCTAATAAACTCCCTCTCCTCTCTTTTCCCTAGTAATGGTGATTGGTCAGATGATGAGGAACACCTCCTTACTTTGACATTGCATGTGTACGCCTGCCACATCAGCCTGCTCTGTGACATAATTAAAGTAGCTTTTTTGGGGTGTGGGGAGGAGTGTTCTGTGTGGCATAGGGAAAAAGCTTGGCTATCTGGCAATATCTTTATTGGGTTTGCAATGTGCTTGACGTTGTAGGAGGCTGTGTTGGCAACTTAAAAGTTGCCCTAATTTTGGCTATGGCCATATTTTGCCCTTAGTATGGAGCTATTATTCCTTCTCTGGATGCCCTGCAGTGCCCAGTTAAATTACAAACCTTACAATGCTTCTGTATAAACATTAATAAATGTCTAAAACTTCATCTTCATATTTGAGTAAAATACACTACCCATCCAGCTTTCACAGAGTTAATAGGTGCATCATATTATAATACAAATTACAAGACAAACAAAAAATTGCAGAAACATTCTTGCCAGAACCAGACGACTCATCCATAGTCAGCATTTCTGCGTTCAGAATGTTCGCCTTTTTCTGTTTAGAGAATTTTTAATATCCCAGGAACTGATTTGCATTTTAAAATGAGCTGTTTGACCTTGGATCTACCATCTGTACGTGCAACCCTCCAACCCCCCCCCCCCCCCCAAACTTTACCATAAAGCCTGTATGTATAAATGTTTAATGAATGAGGCCCTAAAGGTTTGTGAAGATTCCAGATTTATATTCCATTAAACCTGATTCTCGCAGCCTAATTAGCTGGTAATTTCACCCTTGCTTGTACTATAAACCATTTTATGTTCAATAATAATAATAAAATCTCTGTAAACCTTGTCCCTTTATTAATAAACATTATGTGCTTCTGGCTTTTAAGAAAAAAGTAATGAATTGCTTGGCTTGTTATTCCAGCCTATCAAATGATAGCTGTTTCATCCTGCATAGAATAAAAAGGACCAATGATTGGAAATTTTCAAGGGAATCTGAAAAACAATACAAATGCTAAGTGAGATTGACAAGACTGTTTTTTCTACATTCTAACATGAGTCTACAGATCTGAATTTCACCAAGGTCAGTAGTCTGAAAACTTTGCTGTTTTCGGTTTTGACTTTCAAACTTAAAATTTCATGATGTTTGGCATTTTTCAAGAAGGACTACGATTTCTGGGTAATGCTGACCACCTTTCCCTGTGAGTTTGGCATGTACATATGAAGGGAGTTGAAAACTGTGTGGCATATGCATTGGGAGCATTAGAAGTAGTTTTGTTTACTTTTCTCTCTTTAATAACCCTTCAGAAACACAGATTGCAATGGCTGATACCAGCTACTCAGCCCTATTAAGCTGCCCATTTTCCCATCAACTGTGACTCTGGTGAAACTGGATTCTTTAGAACTAATCAGCTGTTATTTAGACCATGGAATTGACAATGGTATGGATTTCACTTTTTAAGACTCATACACATAAAATATACCTATACAGAGTTCTTTAGGAATCCAGGAATCTGTACCACTCAATATGTTTTTTAAAATCAAATTCCATTCACTAAAATACATATATGCACAACAGTGATTTCAAACAAGCCATTTTTTAAATCTAATGCTATTAAAAATGTCTGGCTTCATCAATCATCCTATTTAAAGAGTGTAAAAAATAGGATTTATGACTTACTGTCAATCTTTTTCTTGGCATTCATTAGGCGATACAGGATAAGTCAGAAATGTAGGGTTATGCTTTCAGGAGGTTGTACAATCAAAGCTATAAGACAGTCCAGCATAACCCCTTTCAGTCCCAGCATGCCACTTTTTTAGCAAGAATAGTAAGAGTGGATCACATAAACAGGGGAATGGAATCTCCTGTTTTCCAAAATTCTTCTGTTGGGGACACATTGCGGAGTCAGAAATGTAGTGATGTCTCAAAACAATCCACCTGAGAGTGGGCAACACAGCAAATAAAATGCTAACAAGTCACAGTAACCAAAGTTTAACAAGGAAGGCCTAATAGAGCTCATAGGCCCACTCTGAGAACTTTACAGTTGAAATCTGCTTCAGATGCGGCCCAAACATCTACATGGTAGAAGACAACTTGGCAGCTTTGCAAATCTGAGAAAAAACCCAGCAGAGTGCAGTTTAACAGGAAAAAAATGAACCATGTCCTTAAGCTGATAACTGTATATGATGAGATGCCTATTTCACGTAGAAATAATGGAATAAGATGCAGCCTGTCATTTACATGACCCTTCAAGAGGGATAAAAATACCGTAAGTCAGTATAAGTGAGAAAACAGCTGTGAGATAACTCGAACAGCTCTCACTACATCCAGACAATAAAGAGAAAACTCCATGGGATGTTTTAGAGCAGGCCAGAGTGAGGGGAGCATAATGTCCTGGTAGAGGTGGATGGAAGAAACCACCTTAGGTAAAACGTGCTTGGGCCTGAATCCAACCTTGTCCCTGCATAACAGAAGAAAGGGCTCCCTAGAGGTTAAGATAGCCAACTCAGAAACTTATCTTGCTAAGGTAAGTGCAGACAAGGGAATATCCCTGAGAGATTCTAAGGAAACAAAAGGGAGCTCTTCTTATACTTCAAAGTAGTAGTTTGCCTATCCTTCTTTTGTTGGGACAAAAGGGAGCTCTTTCTCCTAGTGATCTCCTTAAAAAAGGAGTCCTGTTGAATTTTCTGAGACACGTATAGTACTTCTTTAGTGTCTATAGGCGATTATGCTTGTAATTAAAGAGCCGGAAAGGTAAAAAATAAAGTGTGATTTTATTTTATCACACAATGGCTTAAAATAACAAAGTAAAGCGTATCATAAACAGTTCCATGTAAATGTTAAAGCAGAAGTTATAAAGATGTGTCACCATTATGTCCGTTGTCTCATGTGCTTTTTGTCTTGTTCAATGCAGTTGAGACTGCGGACATAGTACAGGAGATTACCAGAGACTGCAGACATAGTACAGGGGATGACCAGAGACTGCGGACACAGTACGGGAGATAACCAGAGACTGCGGACACAGTACGGGAGATGACCAGAGACTGCAGACATAGTACAGGGGATGACCAGAGACTGCAGACATAGTATAGGAGATGACCAGAGACTGCAGACATAGTACAGGGGATGACCAGAGACTGCAGACATAGTACAGGAGATGACCAGAGACTGCGGACACAGTACAGGGGATGACCAGAGACTGCAGAAAGTACAGGGGATGATCAGAGACTGCAGACAGTACAGGGGATGACCAAGAGACTGCAGACAGTACAGGGGATGACCAGAGACTGCAGACCTTTGGGAAGGGGGGGAGCAAGTACCCGCTCCCACTTGCATGGAGTTGTCCTCCCTTTAGTGTGGGCACCCAGCTGTGCCCGGTGCCCACTGCACATGTGCGAGAAGTGCTGTGCTTTGTGAATGGCCCGGCGTCTTCTGGGACCTGTCATGTGTCCCAGAAGATGCCGCACCATTCACAAAGTGCAGTGCTTCTCGCACATGCGCAGTGGACACCCGGCTGTCACAGCCGGGTGCCCACACTAAACATGCCGGCGCGTGAAGATTGCACAGCGCTGGACCGAGGAACTGGTAAGGTCCTGCTGCAGAGAAGAGCTGAGTGGCTGCCCTGTATTCTGACACGGTGGTGGCGGCGAAAATACCGGACCGGCCGCTCCATATTCGCTCTATAAGACGCACTGACATTTTCCCCCCTTTTTTGGGGGGGAAAAGTGCGTCTTATGGAGCGAAAATACGGTAGTTCAGCAGATTGTCGCAATTCATCTTTCCCCATGGATAGACAGTCCACAGGACCTCTGGTTCAGAGGCTGTTCTATCAATGTGAGCAACATTGCATGGCAAGCCACTGCCATCTGATGTCCATTTTAATGTATTGTAAGTAATAACATGTCAGTGGGTTACATATATAAACACAAAAGAGGGGAAACAAAAAAAAAAAAAGCAAGATAAAATGTCTTTTTTTTATTTCCCCTTTTGTGTTTTGTTTTTTATTTATGCATATTCTGTGCATTTTCATATCTGTGTTAGAAGTTGCTTAGGTTATGCTGATTTCTATTTAATATTGCAGTTCAATGATGCATATATTGTAACAAGCTTTTGCCCTGTCCGGTCTTTGGTGGTGTAGCCTGGTTTGTGATCCATGGCGTCCATATGTGTTCCACATGCACTCCTATGCTTGGACACTAGGGGGTGTATTATGCCATTCCACAATTGGCTTCTCACCGCTGCTTTGGATGTGGGGTTTTCAAGAGGAATGGCATGGGTGTGTTTGTGTGAAATGCGCATGCATGGGAGTAGGGGAACATATCGCTCAAGGATATCATCGCCTTGCATCTTGCGGCGGGGGGGGGTGGTGTTTAAGGAGCCCTCCTCCTCGGTGGTGTGATTGTCTGAAAAGGCGGTCAGAGATGGGTGTGCATTATCAGGAGTGGTGAGTCCATACTGGTTTGACTTTTCATACTGGTGTTTTCAACCTATGGGGACCATTGGGTCTGCCTTCTGTTATCTGTGATTAAGGTTACGCCTTAGATTCTTCTATTTTCCTTGGTCTTCAAACAGTTTGGTATATATATATATATATATACATCTAATAGAGGAGGCGATGATTTGATCCCTTGGTGGTTTGGACATGATTGTGGCCTAATGGCCCTGGGTGACCACTTCACAACAAATATCTTAACGGGAAAGATCTATTATTGACTCTGTGTGTAAGTATGCATTTTTTCTTTTACCATTAATGGGGCTTTGGGTAATATGAAATATTGAATCTTACTCTGTATACTGTAGGCCCACTGGTGTACCATAAAAATTGAATATATTATGGCCTTCATGTCCTTGGGTCCTATTTGTTTCCTGACCACCAGGCACATATGCTAACATGTTGTCAAGTAGGTGGCTTGTACAACTATGTTCCCTAGTGCCCTCCTGTATTATTCTAGTTCATTGTGCTATGTATATTATTTTGTGTTTATTTACAAAGATTTTTGTCCACCTGCCTTTCTCTGTCCTTCAGATGGGTGTTTGGGTCCCTGAAGCCTCTGTGTCTGCCTGGGGACTGTCTGCTGAGTGCCGTGCCATATAGATCAGACTGTAAGCATGCATATACATTTATATACATTTTCTGTGCATGATAATGTTGTTGTTTGTAAATTTGTTATTGTCTTATGTAGTTTATACCCTTATCATTCATTTAGGTCACAAGGGAGCCAAATGCTGGCGAAATGTGTTGACCTAATGCACTGGAAAAATAGAATATATCTATATTGGACTATCACCATACTACTTTCTACACATGATTGAGCCAACTTCCAGAGCTATTCAGATTGATGAGGAGGGTTTTGCCCCCAGAATGTATGTGTTACTTTTTTTTGTTTTTAGCATGTTTTTTATATAGATTTGTACAATCAAAAATATATTTATAGAATTCTCTAATATGCTGATATTGTCCTACATTGAGATAAGCTGGTTATGATTTTTAAGCTTTTATCTCTTTTACTCCTACTCACTGATAAGTTCTGGTCAGATAGGAACAGCACCTGTGGGGCATCCAATGCTAGCCGGACAGTCTTTGACTCTCAGGTAGGAATAATCTTGTGGGGGTCTTCAGGGAGAAGCTTCCATCAGATGGGTGCAGCATGGTCCTGGACCTGAAAAGCTCTTTGCAGCTAGCTACAGTTAGGAAAGCCGCACTCCAGTGCGCAGAACATTGATTTGCGGCCGGCTCACAAGTGCACGGGAAGGAAGGCTGTCCTGAGCAGGTTTCCAATATGGCCTCCCAGAATGGCTTACTCTTCCAGTGCCTGGCTTTCCTGATGTTATAGAGGCTATTAATACCTGTTCTGTGGCTCTGAAATGCAAGATGTATGCCCTACAGCTGGATATTGGCCTGATCTGGCAAGACCTAGACAAAATCCACTCTTGGCTTACCACTCCTTAGCAGCTCATTAGCCATGTGGAAGACACCACTGTGAAGGACACTACTACCACCTGATCCTTATATAAAAAAAAACTCAGAGCTCTGGAATACAGAGCCAAGAAATGAAGCAAAAAGAAAGAGCGCATCAACCTTGCGCATTACCTCAGTAATTCAGTGATTTTAATAAATAAAATATATACAGTATACTCACAAACAAGGATGTAAAACAAGCATTACAGATCCTCAAAGGAACTGGGAAGTGTAGAGCCAATGTAAGTCATGTCACGAGGGTAGACAAAGTGAGGCTGACGCGTTTTCGAAGGGAGACCCTTCTTCATCAGAGCCAACTAGTTTCAATATTATTACATCAATTTCAATTAATTGTTTAATTTTTTAATCAGTTAGTTGTTCATTTAATTAATTGATTGATTCATTTTTTTTAATGTGTTACTATAATATAATAACTTCATCTCTATTCAAGTACAGTCCTTTTTCATTTTATGCAGTGTTTTGTTTATTTATTCATTTATTTGTCTATATATAACTTTTACAGCAATGCTCGATATTATCATTTATGTGTACAAGAGCATATATTATAATATAATTTCATGCAACTATGTATTTCTGTATACTTATACATTGTGTTCTCTTTTCGATCATATCATTTATAACAACGCACACAATAGAATATTCACCAATACCATTATGTTTATGACAATATTCATTTTTACAAATTTTTTTGATGATGCTGTTCTATGATTATGTTATTTTTGATGTTTATCCCTATTTTTCATAAATACTTTGAAAGTCTACCCTCATGACATGGCTTACATTAGCTCTACACTCCCCAGTTCCTTTGAGGATCTGTAATGCTTGTTTTACATCCTTGTTTGTGAGTATATATATGGTATTTTATTTAATAAAATCACTGAATTACTGAAGTAATGCGCAAGGTTGGTGCGCTCTTTCTTTTTGTTTCACTTTATAGTGTCAGTCAGGCTTCCCCAGCCTTGTAGTAGAGCTGCACATCCTTCTATGCACTGGTGGAATTGTTTTGAGGTTCCTCGATTCCTCCACCTCTGGTTTGAGTCCTAGAGCGCAGGAGGTGTTATCTTTATACATAGCCAAGAACCATGAGAATCGTAGCAAGAGAAATAATCTCCATATTCTGGAGTTGGCTGAGGACATTGAGAGAAAGAATCCAACTCTGTTTGTGGAGGAGTTACTGCGGTCCCTACTACATGCCGCCAAACTTTCTCCTTACTTTACAGTGGAACATACTTATTGTATGCTGCCTAAACCTGACCTGGTGGGCTATTCACCTGATTCTGCTGAATTTTAGCAACCGAGATAAGATCTTTCAGGCTGCACATGCCACTGGTGACCTAACCTGTTGTAATGGGAAGCTTTTACTCTTCCCTGACTACTCTGTGGAAACCCAGAAATTGGAAAGATTCACTGATACAGTTAAGGCTGCTATGAGAGCTAAGTGGATTTACCACCTTGTGCTAATGCTAGCCTATTGTTGATGCAGATAGTAACTCATTATGACACTGATAATGTCCTGCTTCTAGGTTAATTCAATCTATCATGCCCAGATCTGGACAGACCCCACTTTACCTCAAGATCGTCCCAAGATCTTTTTGTAATGGGCACTTGACAGATGCATGGAGGCATTTTCAACTCTCAAGTAGGGAGTACACTTGTGACTCCACTATTTATAGATCATTCTCATGTATAGACTCGGCCCATGTCTCCTGTGCTGTTTTACAGAGAGTTACCTCTATTCTAATTTTCCCTAGAAAACTGGGAATCTCATACCATGCTCCCTTTTTACTCAACTTAACTAATTCCATGACCCCAGGTCATGGGCTGTGTAGGCTGTCCAAATACTTCCTCAGATGTTCCTGAGTTTATCTGTCAGTTTTGGAATACCAATGAAGACTGTGCTAATCCCTTGGTATTGTGGGATGCTTTTAAAATTTAGTTTGGAGGGAATATATTTCATGTATTGCTTCTTCTATAAAGAATTATATGCACTCCCTTGTGGAACTGAAGTGAGATCTCCAGCAGAAGGAGGCCCTGACTGAGCTAACTATAGGGCATGGCAACATGCTTTAAAGGAGGTGGTGCTGTTGTGTATTGACCAGAATAAAAATCCTTTCTTTATATTGCCCAACTTGTGTTTAAATATGGTGACAATAATGTGATGCTGCTTGCCTGGCTGGCTAAAGGCCAGTTTTCTGTTACCTACATAGGTAGAATTTGGGTTGTTCAAGGACAACCTCTTACCTCTCCAGAGCATATCAACCATAGATTTATGGCATGCTATCCATTTTTATATTCTTCTAGGGCCAGCTATAATGAGTCTAATTTTTGTAAGTATCTTGATAGGATAACTCTTCTTCCCACCCTAGAGGACTCTGCTAGGGAGTAATTAGACCAGGATCTCTCATTTGAGGAAGTGCAGAATGCGATAGGCCATTTTCAGCCTGTCAAGGCTCTTGAACGGATGGGATTCCTACAGAGTTTTACTCCCAACATGTGGAACTGCAGGCTCCTATGCTTGCTGCCCTGTTCGACCAATGCACCCTCAGGGATCTCTCCCAGAGTCTATGCCTGAAACTATTATTGTGTTGGCACCCAAACCAGGTAAGGACCTGGGGGATTGTGTGTGTGCTGTAGACCCATATC